GACAAGCTCTCCCGTCGCGCTGTCCCCTGCGTCTTCCTTGGCTTTGTCCCGGACGCCCCTGGTTGGCAGTTCTACCACCCCACCTCGCGGCGTGTCCTGGCCTCTCAGGACGTCACTTTTGACGAGTCCGTCCCCTACTACCGCCTCTTCCCCTACCGCACTGCCCCGCTCCCCCCCCCGCCTCTCTTCCTCGCTCCAGGTGCAGAGGTACCAGACCCCCTCCCCCCTCAGGGTGCCGCTCCCTCAGGTGTGTCCCAGGTAGACCCGGGTGAGCCTGTCGAGGTAGCTGTTGACTCTCGTCCTGCGTCTGGGGGTGCTGAGTCTGGGGGTGCTGAGCCTGGGGGTGTTGAGCCTGGAGGTGCGGAGCCTGGGGGTGTTGAGCCTGGAGGTGCGGACCCTGGAGGTGTGGAGCCTGGAGGTGCTGAGCCTGGGGGTGCGGAGTCTGGGGGTACTGAGACTGAGCGTGCTACACCTGGAGGAGCCCTCTCCTCCCAGCAGCTGCAGGAGAGGTACCTCGAGTACTGCCGCCTCCGGAGAGGTGCTGCTGGAGCTCGTCCCGGTACTTCCCCTCCTACCCAGGAGCTCCCCCCCATTCAGCAGATCCGAGAGTGGTACACGCGGCACTGCAGTCTTCGGAGTGGTGCTCCGGGTGCTGCGGACCCTGGGGGTGGCACTGCTGCTGGTGCTGAGGACCCGGGCGTTGGAGCTGCTGCTGGTGCTGAGGACCCGAGTGGTGGAGCTGCTGCTGGTGCTGAGGACCCGAGCGGTGGCGCTGCTGCTGGTGCTGAGGACCCGAGCGGTGGCTCTGCTGCTGGTACTGAGGACCCGGGCGTTGGGGCTGCTGCTGGTGCTGAGGACCCGGGCGTTGGAGCTACTGCTGGAGCTGAGGACCCGGGAGTTGGAGCTGCTGCTGGTACTGAGGACCCTGCCGCTGGTGTCTCTGCTGGTTCTGGAGACGCTGCGCGGCCGCGACCGTACTTCGTACCACTTCTTCAGCAGGTTCTTGGTCAGGCTCCTCCTCCTTGTCCTCCTCCCTCCGTAGAGTGTCCTCCGCCTGTCCAGTCGCAGTCACAGTTCCCGCCTGCCTCGCCTCTCCCTGCTCCCTCTCCTTACGCTGGTCCCACAGGAGGTCTTACAGAGCGTCGTGAGCCTGAGTCTCGTCCTGCGTCGCCTGTTCGTGCTGCTCGCACTGGTCGTCGTGTCCCACGTGAGCGTCCTCCTCCTGTCCCTGGCACTCACTACATGACTCTGCGTCCCTCCACTGCTCCTCAGCGTGTCCCGCTACCGTCTCCTCCTGCTTCCTCTCTGCCTACTCTTCCTGACCCGGAGTCTGACTCCCGTCGTGCTGCCAGTCCCACTGTCACCCGTCTCCTCGCTACTGTTGTCACTGACCCTACCTTTGAGTCCTCTGCTGCGTCTGCTCTAGTCGCTGAGTTGATAGACTTTGCTGCCCGCTGTCGTCTAGACTACGCCACTAGCCTTGTTGCTGAGTCTGAGTCTGTCTGTCCTCCGTCCGTCGGGGGTGAGTGTGCTCTTGGCACGGACGTCCTTGAGGACAGACAGGAGGAGTTCCAGTGCTTTGCTGCTGCTTTACCCCACCTCGTGTCCATGCTAGTTGCCCCTGAGGGAGACCCGGATGCACTAGACATCCCGACCCCGCGCACTTACGCTGAGGCGATGGCGGGTCCCTACTCCTCTCAGTGGCAGACAGCCATGGACGCAGAGATGGCTTCCTGGAAGTCCACACGCACCTACGTCGACGAGGTTCCCCCACCTGGGGCGAACATCGTCAGTGGCATGTGGATTTTCAGGGTGAAGCGGCCACCGGGTTCTCCTCCTGTCTTCAAGGCGCGCTACGTGGCTCGAGGCTTCAGTCAGCGAGAGGGAGTTGACTTCTTTCAGACCTTCTCCCCCACCCCGAAGATGACCACTCTTCGGGTGCTGCTGCACATAGCCGCTCAGCGCGACTACGAGCTTCACTCACTTGACTTCAGCACTGCTTTCTTGCAGGGCAGCCTGCACGAGGAGATCTGGCTGCGCCGCCCTCCTGGCTTCACTGGGTCAGTTCCTCCTGGTACCCAGTGGAGGCTTCAGCGGCCGGTCTACGGTCTCCGCCAGGCACCGCGTGAGTGGCACGACACACTGAGGACGACACTTGCGGCTCTTGGGTTCGCTCCCTCTACTGCTGACCCGTCACTGTTTCTACGCACAGACACCTCACTGCCGCCCTTCTACATCCTCGTGTACGTCGACGACTTGGTCTTTGCCACTGCTGACACCACGGCACTCGCCCACGTGAAGTCGGAGCTGCAGAGGAGACACACGTGCACAGACCTGGGTGAACTGACAAGCTATCTTGGCTTGCGGATCATCCGGGACAGAGCACGGCGCACCATCACCTTGACTCAGTCACACATGGTGCAGCAGATCCTTCAGCGCTTCCGCTTCACGTACTCCTCGCCTCAGTCCACTCCTCTGCCTACCGGTCACTCGCTCTCAGCTCTGCCTTCGGATGAGTCCGTAGAGCCGAGTGGCCCGTATCCAGAGCTTGTGGGCTGCCTCATGTACCTGATGACCTGCACTCGACCTGAACTTGCATACCCTCTTAGCATCCTTGCACGCTATGTCGCTCCTGGCCGTCACAGGAAGGAGCACATGGATGCCGCTAAGAGGGTGTTGCGCTACTTGTGCAGTACGTCGGGCATGGGGCTAGTGCTTGGAGGGCGAGACCGAGTTGTACTTACTGGACACTCAGACGCTTCTTGGGCGGACGACCAGGCTACTCAGCGGTCGTCTCAGGGTTACACCTTCAGCCTTGGCTCCGGCTCAGTTTCTTGGCGTTCTACACGCTCTTCTTCTGTTCTCAGCTCCAGTTGTGAGGCTGAGATCTACGCCACAGCCATGGCTGCCCAGGAGCTACGCTGGCTGACTTACCTGCTGACCGACTTGGGTGAGCAGCCTCGTTCTCCTCCAGTGCTGTACGTTGACAACCAGGCTGCCATTGCCTTGTGTGAGGAGCACAGACTGGAGCACAGAACGAAGCACATCGCCCTGCGGTACTTCCTTTCTCGAGAGCTGCAGCAGCGCGGTCAGCTTTGTCTGCGTTACGTGGCCACTGAGGCCAACCTTGCTGATGTGTTCACCAAGGCGCTTCCGCCTTGTGACCATCAGCGCTTCTGCACTCTGCTAGGCCTTGTGCCTACTGGACCTCACTTACTTACCTCTTGACCTTGCTTGTACTGTGATCACTATATATATATATATATATCTACCTGCATGTTTACTCTTGCTAGGTTGTGATCACTGTATCTCATGCTCTGTTATAAACTTGCATGTGAACTGGTCTTGTGACCACTAGCTTGTGCTCGGAATTTGTGTGGTATCCTTGAGATCCACCCTGAGCTTGTTGTTGCCTTGCTTTGCCTTGACTGGTCTTGTGACCCCTAGGTCTCCCCCACTTTGCCTATGGGGGTGTGTCAAACATTATATATGTTGTGTTTGTGTAGGCTGTAGTGGGTTAGCCTATAGGGGGGTCACAACATTAGGGTTTCATATTTGTACTCACCATCCTTGCTAGTTCATCATTCCTGCCTGTTCATTCTGACAGTTACGCGAAAGTCAAAGGTCAAGCAACCTTTGACCTGACAAGTACAGCGCGACAGTTAAGGACACACAACTGACTCGCTACAGAGCAGTTGCCCGAGTCGTACTGTATCGAACCGCAACAGCAACAGTAAAAGTAGTTACAACCGTATCTCTTCATATTCCTTGTATTATTATATATTCTTGTATCTCTTTGCTATAATCAATCTACTTTGCCCTCACATACCAGCGCAAGGTGGTTCACAATTCTTCATTTAGCTTCTGCTATTACAACACTATCCTACCCAGAGTTCTCCCTTGAAAAGATCCTAAGGGGCTATCTCAGCCCAACATGGTATGAGAGCAAACAGGGGAAACTCTACTACCTTCAAATCATTACAAGACATGGCAACAAACAAGGAAAGGAGCTCCTCTAACGGCTCCCCGGGCACTACTCCTACTCCACCTCCTGCCTCTGGCCTGCAGACAGAGGAAGGCACGGCAACAAGACCAAGGGTGACATCTACTGAGACTCACACAAATCGCCCCACGGACTTCGACCAAAGCATGATGGAGAAATTCTTCTCCTTCATGTCCTTCTACGAGCAGCACCAGCAATCGGACAACCCTACCAATCAGACTATTTAGTCTGATTGCGTCTACCCTGAAATGGGTTGTTTATCTATTCTATTACTGAAACCATGCTTTTCTTCATCATGCGGGAGAGTTACGACGACACTGTTCGCACTACTACCTGTACTCATATGAAGAGACACCTCCTACAGTAACATACGCATATGTTAACACTACAATACTTGGGACTGTAGTATTTTACTAATCAAACTACTAATCTATACCGGTGTGTGTTATTTTATTTACTTCAACAAGTGCAAAGCGGTAGTGAGGAGAAAGCATCCTCTATATGTTGTAGTGTACCATTGCCGTAACTGCGCAAATAACCTTGGTGTACTCCATCAGGTCTCGTCAAATCATGGTAGTGAGGAAGTTCGTGCAAAAACATATTTCCTATACTGAGGGTATCAAAATATTGCGCATAATATCGGTCACTCGATAAATCTGGAGCATAATATACTGAGGTTGTTCCGTGTGGCTTCCCGTTTGGGTGGAGCCTGTTTTTGTTCCAACACGTCTCGCGCTCGAGATCTACCCCCCAGAAGAGAAACTCTGTAAGCCAGGGCACACTGACACATCTGGACGCCAGACAAGGCTCACTCCCTTGAAAGCCAGGACGCTAACACAATATGGCGGAACCTTTCGTCCGAGCGGAAGTTCCTGCCACCAGTAACGCCTTGAGACATGTGGACTGCCAGGTCGGATTTATTCCATTTTTCTGTCGTCCTTTTTAGTTTCGTGATTTTTTTAAATGTGCATGTACACCAGGTTGTTTTCCCTACGGAATGGTTGCCGCTGGTGCACAGCAATCAAAGTAACAATAGCATTTGCGTATGTTGGAGAATTTCAAGTGCTCGACAGCTATGTTCAGGAAATCTGTTGAGAGTTGCTAGCTGGAGCGTCAATAAATACGAGAAATGGTAAGTCGGTTTAACTACGCACTTAATTTTGTAATTTTAGTAACACGTTTTTATGTGTTAAGGATTCTATCCGTAACTGGAGGGATCACCGACACCTGTCCTCTCGTGTTCGAGGTTCTGAGGGAGGCACCTTGCTCAGCCACTTTCCACATATTGCTGACCATTATTTCCAGCATCGAGGAGCGATCTGTCTCTATAGGTGTCGTTTCGCAACACTTTTCTATGTTTTTTTCATTGTGGTTTTACAAACTTATGTCGGCAAAATCTGGCATAGCAGACGCGAAGTGGAACTTCGAACGTGACTCTTGGTCAACTGGAAACTCTTTCCGAATGGGCGACGTTATTTCTTCTGCTGCAGGTTTTGTGAAGGACGGAGTGCTCAGAGGGGAGCTTATGCTGCTGCCAGGTATATGCTTTCTATTTGTTTTATTTATAACCCGAGGGATCTGACCACTCTATTAGACTTTGAGCAGCATGAAGCATTAAAAGCGTTTCCGGCAGCTTTTTCAGACTTCCCACTCAAGTCTTGTGGGTTGTCTACTAAAAGCATTATGTCAAGAACTACAGTGATAAGCAACCACCCCAAGATTATTGTATTCGATTGCTTGCTCTCTAAAAGGAATGCGAGCACCTGATTATGCTAGCAGCACCTCACATGCGCAGATCACTTGTCAGCGGAAGGGCAGTCAGTGAGGTAAGCTTTCTATTATTGTCACCACGCTATTCTCTGCTGTTAACTTGGCATATCCATTGCAGAACAGGACTAGCTGGAGTATGTTTTGCACAAACGGCTTGGAAATAGATCCTGTGGTTCAGTGTGTTGAGCGGAGGTGCATCTTCTACATGAAGCTTTTAGGCATACATGTTATCCCAGACAACGAAAAACTTCAGGTGAGCTGTTGCATCTTTACCTGTTGGTCGTTTTTTGAACCAGCAAACAACTGTCTCCCCTTCACTTCAGATAATCCGATACAAAGCTGGTGAAGAGTTCAAAGCTCATTTTGACAATGGTAGGTCTCTCTTCTCCCGTTTTCAATGGCAACGCATGCTCACTTTTACTTGTCAGATGTGGGAAACTGCAGCAAGCGTGCAGCCACGGTGCTCATGTAAGTTGTTATTCTTCTCTCATCTTGTTAATTCTTAAGTTCGATTGTTGACACAACGAATACCAGGTACTTATCAGATGTGGAGAGCGGCGGAGAAACCTATTTTCCGAAAGGATTATTGATGCACAAAAGCAATGGTTATGATGGTATATGCGGAAATGGTTCCGGCATTTCTATAGCTCCGAAAAAGGTTAGCTTTCGCACTTTGTCCTCGTTGTATCCCAGCTTACCAATTGGTATCCACATATTTTCACATTTTTCAGGGAAGGGCTTTGGTATTTTTCAGCCGCCGACATGATGGATCTGAAGATCCTTGTAGTCTTCATGGTGAGTTGTCTATGAGACTGTATCTTCTGTTGTTATATGGTCTCCTGTCATTTTAGCAAACCATTCACAGTTGACTGTTTCAGGTGGAGCAAAGGTTCGGACTGGAATTAAATGGGTGGCATCTAAATGGATTTCAATCAGCTAAAAGGAGTGTTTTCGACGTATTGTTTGCTCTGGTGTGAGATCATAACCGGTGGGGCATTATACACTGCATAATCTTATTTGTTTTAAAAAGGGCCTGTTTGCAGGATAGGAGTATGGTAACTAGAATTGTTAGATTGAGAAAGCTTGCTTTCTGCTCTTGCAATGGCAACGTGCTTCATTAGAATTGCAGTAATTACAACATTCTCGTCCAACTATAAATGGGACATGTATACTACAAGGGTGGGTGGGTGGGGAGTGGAACTGCAAAGTTCCGAAATGAAGACGTGGGTGGAGGCCAAATGGCCTCCAACCCTCTTATGTATTTGGCGAATGGTAATTAGCAGTTGCCTTGCTACGCTACAGTCAGCTGCGCTTTCACAATACGCATTTTTAGAAAGTGTTACACACTTTCAAAAAAATTTATTTGTAGGTGGTGTATGTTGAGGTGGGACAATCACTTTTAGGGCGTGTAAAATCGGCGTGCATTTTAAAAAATGGGGTTTGGCCGGGTTTTGTCGACCAAATGGTCGACACTTCTTTCGCACATGTCGACCTGATGGCCGAATTAGAGTCGACCAGTATTTGCAGGTCTGCAAATTTTACAACTTTGCAGGCCGAATTGCTGGCCGACTCCAGAAAACTTGTAAAATTTGCAAGTGCTACAGTAGGAACGTGTAAAATTTGCAAGTGCTACAGTAGGAACGTTTGTGCGACGGGGTCGCACATATGACGGCGAAGTCTCTGATTCGACAAGAGAAAATAATCTGTCGTTCTGCGAGACTGTGCGACGTCGCACGTGACAGTCGCTCACGGAGTCGACTACTTGGCCGAATTGGAGTCGACATGGTGTCGAATTCGAGTCGACTTTCAAAACGGCCATCAATTTCGTTTTTTATTCGCGAAATTTGCGATGGTCGCGAGCGTCTTCACGAAACTCGCAAACGGGTTACTTTCGCCAATTCGGCCATTCGGCTTGTGGCCGAATTTTTAGGTGCAGCGATTTTACACGCCCTTAGCATTCATCACATTGAGAGGAGGGGTTGCAGAGTTGAAAGGGAGTACACAACGAACCACCGAATCAGCACGATGACGTCATCATGCAATTCAAACAGGGAGGTACCACATATTCAACCTAACTGAACCCGCTGTGGGATGTGGGTTGAATGTTGAGGGCGACGTCAGGTTATACATTTCTCATGGGTTTGCAGTTCTTGTATCGTGATTCCGGACGGTCCAAAACGGTGGAAAGCGGTTCTCGACGTTAACCTCTCTGCACCGTGCTGAAATGAAGTTAATCGCAGTTGGCGGACAAGAAGTTGTAGAACCTGACGTCGCTCTGAGGCTGAGGTTATACCTAGTTCGCTCACAGTTCAGGCTGGTAAGTAGCGGTTGAAAGCGGTTAGGGGAACAAACTGCCAACGAGCGCACAACTCTATAATCAACCGCTAATTGAATGCCTTTCCCAGTTGAGGTAGCCAACCTAACACTAGTCAACCCCAGTCGTGCCCCATCTACGCGCTACCCCGCCGCAAGGACGTCTGCATATTGCACACCTCGTTCCCAAGCACTGACCCTTGCCAGCAGGAGCGGGACTCACTACTGATTGAATTCCCCGCAACTCGTCACGTTGGACAGCTCGCGACTTAATTGGCCAGCATGAGGCGGATCCCTCCCCGTCCGCCTGTCGTCTGCCACCTCGTTACGACCTGAAGGACACCGAATCGAGCTGGTATTGCAGATACTAACGTTCAGGGCATCGGCAGGCGAAGCCGCATACTAGTTCGCGAGCCCAGATAGTAACCTCGTCCCGTGTTCGTCCACGATGGAGACCAGACAGGGAAAGGGTCGCGGGGACGGCTTGTGGTGGGGGTTCCGGCGCGTGGGTACCCGCGACCTGCGCGTGCTGCTGATCGCCATGGCGACCGCCATCCTCCTCATCGCCACCTTTTCGCGACCGCACGCCAGGTGAGCCAGGTCGAAGGTTAGCCAGTACGACCGTTAGCCAGGACGACCGTGAGCCAGGACGACCGTGAGCCAGGACGACCGTGAGGTGGGTCAACGGTGAGCCGTGTCGACGGTGAGCCCCACCCCTCCCTTCCCCCTTCCCCACCCACACACACCCTACACCTCTTCCCTCCCGCCTATTCCTCCTCCCTTCTTTCCATTGTCCCCTTCCCCAGTTGGGACGAGCGCGACCTGCAGGAGGAGGCGGGGGGCCTGCCGACGGACATAGACCAGGACGCCGTGGCCGCCATGGACGAGTGGGACGCCATCGACCGCCTCCCCTGGCGCCGCCTGCCGCCGCCATTACCCTCGCTGTCGCTGCATGGCGCTGTGCCCGGGAGGAACGTCACACAGGGGGGAGACGTGGCAGGCGTGGGGGAGGAAGGCGGGGAGGGGGCGGAGGGGAGGAGGAGGCAGTGGGGGGGAAGGGGAAGAAGAAGAAGAAAAAGAAGCCGAAGCGGCCACCTCCGCCTATAAGGAGGATTGTGGAGGTGGCGGAGGCGGACGCGTGTGCTGTGCCGCGGCCCGTGGTGCCGTGCCGCCTGCCCAAGGGGCAGCGCGTGGAGCTGGTATTCGTCTCCGCCATGTGGGAGCGCGAGGCGCAGACCAAGGTGCGGGGGAAGGGGGATGGGTAGATTGGGGGACTAGGGGGTGGGAATGAGGGGTGGGTGACCAGGGGTTGCGGATGAGGATGGGGTGATAAGGGGTGGGGATGTGGGGCGAGGCGCAGGTGAAGGTGCGCTAGGAGGGGAAAAGGGTGAGAGGGGGTAGGGGAGGGAGATGGGAGGGACGGGGGTGAGAGGGGAAGAGAGGTGAGAGGAGGAGCGGGGTGAGACGGAAGTGGGGGTGAGGAGGAGGAGGTGAGATGGAAGGGGGTGAAAGGGGGAGAGGGGAAGGTGGGAGTTGGATGGGAGGAAGGGGGTGGAGGGAGAGCGGCGTGAGAGGGGAAGGAGGAGGATGAGAGGGGTGAGAGTGGGGGGGGTGAGAGCGGAGGGGTAGGAGGGGGGGGGGGGGAGGAAGGAGGGTGAGAGGGGAAGGGGGGTGAAAGGGAGAGGACGGGGAGGGGAGAGGGTGAGGAGCGGTGGAGGTGAGAGGCGAGGCGGGTGAGAGGGGGATACCCAATGAGACGGGTAGGATTTTGGGAGGGAGGGAGATGAGCGGGGAAGGGGGGTGGAAGGGAGATCAGTAGAGGAGGGTGAGAGGGAAAGGGGGTGAAAGGAGAAGGAGGGGGGGGGGGTGAGGGAGTGAGCGAGGTTGGGGATTTGAGGGGAGGGAAGGGAGGACGTGAGGGGGATGGCCGTGGCTGAATGTGAGAGGGGGAAAGAGGTGAGGGGGGGAAGGGGTTGAGAGGGGGTGGGGTGTGAGGGCTAGGAGGGGGCTGGAAGGGGCATGCTGGGGGTGAGAGGATGGCAGATGATGGAGGGGGAACGGTCTCGGGTTTAGGGTAAGAACGGGAGACTGGTGAGAGTAGAAAGGTGGTGAGAGGAAGGGGTGAGCCGGGAAGGGGGGTGAGAGGAGGGGTTGAGAGGGGAAGGGGGGTGGAGGTAGAGGGAGGTGAGAGGTGGAGAGAGGGGAGTGAAGGGACGGGTAAAGATTTGCGAGTGGTCGGAGAGGAAGCTGGGGGGGTGAAAGGAGAGGGTTCGGGGCAGGAGTTGAATGGTAGGTGGGCAAAGCTCGCAAGGCTGGGATGGGAGAGAAGGAGAATGCATATGAATGGGCAAGTGTTGGATTATGAAGGGGAGGTGGGTCATGAGGTTTTGTGTGATGGCGATGTGGATATATGTGCATGTGGGCGTGTGGTCATTTGGGGGATCAGGGCGCAAGAGGAGAGGCTGGATGCGGAATAGACAGGAGGGTGTGATACTGTGCATGAATGGCGCGTGCTGGAGTGTATGAAGCTATATCACAGACCGTGCATTAGCTTCTTGTAACATCCTTGTGTGCCCCTGCCTGCAACCCTTCATTTTCTCAATGAACCGTCCCCTTCACCACCATTCTCGTCCCCCGGCCAATCCCCTCCTTTCACACCACCATGACTCTCCTCCCCTTCCCTCCCCTCCCCTTCCTTCCCCTCCCCTCCCCTTACCTCCCCTCCCTTCCCTCCCCTCCCTTCCTCTCCCTCCCATCCTCTCCCCTCCCCTCCCCTTCCGTCCTTTCCTCTACCCTCTCCTCCCCTCCCCTCCCCCCTCTTGCAGGATGAGACAGAGACGATGCTAAAGTCATTGCTGTACGGCACGCGCTGCCCGCTGCACATCCACTTCATCATCTCGGGCGAGCCAGAGCAATCGGTGCTGCGCTCGCTCATGGTCACGCTGCGAGCCACCGAGCTCATCCCCAACCCCTCTCCCTACATCTACCCCTCGCGCAACGGCGCTCGCATCGGCCACCCCACTGCCAAAGACCTAGCAGCGCGGGGGTACAGCAACGGGGTGGCGAGCAGGCAGCGGGCGGCGGTGCTGTTCAGCATGCACTACCTGCCCACGGACTATGTGGTGGAGCGCGCCAAGGCGCTGCACCTGTGGCCGCTGGCGCACCATGCGGGCGTGCCCGGCATGAGCAAGTTCTTCATGGCCGAGATCCTCTGGCAGGTGCGATACGTGTATCTGCCTGCCGCTGGATGCCGCTGCGTGTGCCTGGGCTTTAAGGACGCTTGAGGGGTGGCGGATGTGGAGAGGAGTAATGTGGTCTGGGGTTGTGGGGGATGAGTGTGTTTCTCAAGGCGACAGTGCTGTGGTAAGTGGGATGGATGGAGTGCGAGGTGGGTCTCAGGTGTTCCAGTCCATTCCATGGCTCCCTCTCTCCCTCCCCTCCCCCTCCCGTTTTCCAATACAGGACGCGATGCACCCGCATGTGATCCTTGTCACCAGCAGGCGACATGCAGCACTAGAAATTCCTGCGTGCTGCAGCTCAGCATGATAGCTTTCTTTCTGCTCTTCTCTCTCACCAGCGGCGCAAGCAACTCCATCCCCCAGCCATGGACCAAATCCCGCTCCGTACAGGTACATGGCCGCCATCTACCTGGACATGGATGGATGGAATACCTGCGTGCTTCAGTCCACGTTGAGAGGAACCCTGACCCTAAACTCCCCCCCTTGCCCTCCCCGCCTCGTCCTCCCTCGAGGTGCAGCGGAGCGGATCATCCACCTGCTCTGCACGTGGATGTGTAGTGCCGAGGGACGTTGTTAAATCACCACCTGTACCTCAACCCACCTCACAGCGTCACCTCTTCTTCTTCCTCACCAACAATCGCAACCCAACCCAACCCCTTCCCCCTCTCCATTCACCCTTCAACCCTCCCTCCCTCCTCTCCCCGCTTCCCGCCTTCTCCATCCCCCCCCCCCCCCCCCCCTGAAAATACAACACGCCATCTACCTGGACATGCACATCATAGCTGCGTGCTTCAATCCATCTTCACCCATTTGCCTCTACTTCCTCACCAACCCTCCCTCCCATCCCCTCCCAATCCCCTCCCCTCCCCCTCCCCTCCACTCCCCCTCTCCTTTTTCCCCTCCTCTCACCTACCCTCCCTTCCCCTCATCTCCCCTCCCCTTCCTTTCCTCTCCCTCCCCCTCCCCTCCCCTCCCCTCCTCTCCTCTCACCTCTCCCTCCCTCCCTCCCTCCCTCCCCTCCTCTCCCTCCCCTCCCCTCCTCTCCTCCTCCCCTCCTCCCCTTCCCTCCCTCCCCTCCCCTCCCCTCCCCTCCCCTCCCCTCCCCTCCCCTCCCCTCCCCTCCCCTCCCCTCCCCCCCCTCCTCCCTCCCCTCCCCTCCTCTCCTCTCCCTCCCTCCCCTCCCCTCCTCTCCTCCCTCCCCCTCCTCCCCTCCCCTCCCCTCCTCTCCCCTCCCCTCCCTCCCCTCCCCTCCCCTTTCCTCACCTCCTCTCCCCTCCTCTCCTCTCCCCTCCCCTCCTCTTCCCTTCCCCCCCCCCCTCCTCTCCCCTCCCCGGCCCCTCCCGCCTGCACCAGGTGCAGGGGACGTGTACACGATAGTGGCAGGTTGCATCCAGGATCTGTGCTATATACGTCCTTCCTCCTCACTCCTACCGCCCACTCATCGACCAAACCCCCCTCATCCTTGGCCCATCTCGTATTCCTCCGCCGCGCCCCCCCCCCACCAGGTGCAGCGAGCCATCGACCTGGACGTGGCCATGATAGTAGCGGGCGCCGTTCAGTACCTGTGGGAGCTCCTCCAACTCACTTGCACGTGCATCTACCTCTCTGACCTCCTTCCTCTCCACCTCCTCTTCCCCCCATACACCCCCTTCCCCTGCACCTGCGCCCCCCAGGTGCAGCGAGCCATCTACCTGGACGTGGACATGATAGTGGCGGGCGACATCCAGGACCTGTGGGACTTCTTCCTGTCCATGGCGCACGACCCCGACCTGCTCTACTTCATCAGCAACAACCACCCCGAGGGCGCCAACGCGCGCCGCCTCCTGCGCCCCTACTGCTCCTGCCAGATGGTGCTGGACCTGCAGCGCATGCGCGAGGCTAATCTCACCCAGGTGGGGTTGCCTGGGGGGGAAAGGGGTTCAGAGAGGTTGGTTGAGGTTGTGGATAATGGGAGGGGAGGAAGGGGGATGAGAGGGGGAAGGGGGGTTACATCCTGGACTGTGCTGCTCCCCTACTGCTCCTGCCAGATGGTGCTGGACCTGCAGCGCATGCGCGAGGCTAATCTCACCCAGGTGGGGTTGCCTGGGGGGGAAAGGGGTTCAGAGAGGTTGGTTGAGGTTGTGGATAATGGGAGGGGAGGAAGGGTGATGGGAGGGGGAAGGGGGGTTACATCCTGGACTGTGCTGCGCCCCTACTGCTCCTGCCAGATGGTGCTGGACCTGCAGCGCATGCGCGAGGCTAATCTCACCCAGGTGGGGTTGCCTGGGGGGGAAAGGGGTTCAGAGAGGTTGGTTGAGGTTGTGGATAATGGGAGGGGAGGAAGGGGGATGGGAGGGGGAAGGGGGGTTACATCCTGGACTGTGCTGCGCCCCTACTGCTCCTGCCAGATGGTGCTAGACCTGCAGCGCATGCGCGAGGCTAACCTCACCCAGGTGGGTCTTGGTGGGGGGGAGGGTTTAGAGGGGGTGGTTGGGGTTGCGGAGCAGAGGAGGGGTAAGGGTTTTTTTTTTCTGGAGCGTTGCTGCGCCCTTACTGCTCCTGCCAGAGGGTCCTGGACCTGCAGAGGATGCGTGAGGCCAACCTCACCCAGGTGAGATTCCTTGGTATTCAGCGAGAGTGGTTGGGATTTCAAAACAGTGGAGGAAGAGACGGGGGAGCAGGGGTGGATGACAGGGTGGTTGGTTCTTCCTCGGCCGCCTTTTCTCTGGCCGTGCAAGGGGTTGCCCAGGGATGGGATATGGAGGCAAGAAAATGATTGATGGATGGTGTAGGGAGGATGTGACTGGTGCTGGAGTGTTGAATATGGCACAATATCTTGAGGATAGTTGTTGGCGAGTTACCATGCACTTGCAGGTTGCGAATCAGGTCTATACACGACTGGGGTACTAGATAGGTTACTTCTCCTTGGCATTTCCACAGTCCTCATTACACCACTCTCCCTCCCCACTCATATCTCTCTTTCCAGCACTGCCTTACTCCTCCCACCCCCCCTTTCCCCCTCTCCCCACCTCTCTCCCCGTTTCCCCTCTGGATCCGTATCACCCCTGTGTTTATCCCATGCGCGTCTACCACACCTCTCTCCCCGTGCATGGTCACCACCACGCACAGCTGTTCGTGGACACACTGGGTCCGCACAAGCCCAAGGAGCTAGCGGACTACGTGGAGGACGGCGACCAGTTCCTCTTCATGTGGACGTGCAAGCAGATGCCCACGCGCTGCCGCGTGCTGCCGCGCCTCTGGAACGTCTCCGGCTGCACCAAGCCACTGCCCTTCCTGGGATTAACTTCAAGAGGGAGGGAGGCGAATGGGAGCTGTTGGCGCATTGTGCATTTTAACTGCATGGGGCATATGAGAGGGGGGCAGGGGAGCTATGTTGTGCCTCCGGAGTGGGAGGAGGCGGCTTCATGGACCAGGAGTTTGAGATTGGAGAAACTGAGACGGCCACCAATCGCGTAATGTGTTTCTGTTAGGGCGTGGCAGGTCCCAAAAAGCCAGCATCTTTGCACGGAAGGGAGGGGGGAGAAAGGGGAAGAAAATCTCATACTTGTGAGAAAATCTCATACTTGTTAAAGGATTCTCTGATGTGTATTGTACTTGTTTTGACGAGAATGCCCCCGTGCATTCCTGAAAGTACCGCAGCGCGAAGACGCTCCACTACCGACTACGAAGAAGGAGGTCGAACAAGTTGGTATATTACTGCAGTTTCTTCAGTATGCACCGTAAACCCCTGTATATAGGACCCCCTCCAGTTGTAGACCCCCGGGTCTATAATACGGAGGGGGTACTCTATTCGAGTACATCTGAGTTGTACCCCCCATATCCTAGAGAAGTGCAGATTTTCAGCAAATGCAATAGAAAATGGTCATATTCCATGTTCAGTTAGAGAAATTACACCCATGAACGTGGGTGTCTGAAGATCCCGCCCTTGTCAGGACTGTGCAGCCCGCACGAAGCGTGCATGGGCTGCGCAGGCCGAGGCGACACTGTGTGCTGGGCCCATCAAACGGTGCCCTGCGCTGTCGTGAACACCAAATGGTGTTTGCAGCCAATGGGAGGAGGCTTCCAGATGTTGGAAACAAGTGATTTAAGCGCCTCTGTCGTGTCGTTTCACCAAGTCACAAGCGAAGCAAGACATATCGAAGCACCGGCGAGTCAACCCTCGGAGGTTGAAGTAACTGCTGGAGGTTACGCGAAAGTCAAAGGTCAGCGACCTTTGACCTGACAAGTACAGCGCGACAGTAAGGACACACAACTGACTCGTTACAGAGCAGTTGCCCGAGTCGTCACTGTATCGAACCGCAACAGCAACAGTAAAACAGTTATTCTGTATCTTTTCATATTCCTTGTACTCTTATAAAACCTTGTATCTCTTTGCTTTAATCAATCTACTTTGCCCTCACATACTAGCGCAAGGTGGTTCACAATTACTTCACTAAAAGCTTCCGCTATTACATCATTTTCTACTCAGAGTTCAGCCCTGCAAAGATCCTAAGGGCTTTTCTCAGCCCAACATGGTATCAGAGCTATCAGGGTGAATTCAACTACTATAAAGACACCTACAACATCAGAAGGCATGGCAACACAAAAGGAAAGGAGTTCCTCTAATGGCTCCCCCGGCACTACTCCTACCCCACCACCTGCCTCTTGCCTACAGACAGAGGAAGGTACAGCAACAGGACCAGCAGCAGCGTCTACCGAGACTCCTGCAAACCAACTTGCAGGCTTCGACCCAAGCATGATGGAGAAGTTCTTCTCCTTCATGTCCTTCTACGAGCAACACCAGCAATCGGCACCTGCGCAGTCAAACAACAGCAACAGCAACAACGACGTGACTCCCATGAGTCTCAATGGCTTATAATATGCGCGCGGAAATCAACAGCAGCAGCCTACCTTTGCTCCGTATGAGCCCCAGCGCGGCTCCATCAGCTTCACACCACACCCGCAACCTGGACAAGAGAAAACACTGGACGCACTTCAAGTTCAGTCGCGGTTCGCGCATATCCTAAAACTGCAAACGTCAAGGCCTTTCGACGGAAATGATTTTTTCACCTGGTCATTCGAGTTTGAGCTGATGATGGAAGGCGAGCAAATTCTCGGCTTCTTCGACGGGTCCCTGCCATATCCAACACACGGGACACAGTACGACAAGCAGCAGTACACGTATCAGTCAATGATGGCGTACACAATCCTACTGAGAAACATCACTCAGAATAAGCAGCAGAATATACGGTCTTACCGGGGATACGGCAACTCCGCCGAGCTCGCGTACAACCACCTGAAGAACCTGTATCAAGCAACATACAGCGTAAGTCAAAGTCGGTTAATGGCGCAATTGACAACGGTCGAAATGAAACCGGGCGAAAAAGGGATGGCGTATATCAGTCGCTGTTGCGAATCGCGCGACAAACTCCTTCGATGCGGAGGATCAATAGCCGAAGAAGCCTTCGTAACAGTCGTCATCAGTGGCCTTGGTCCTCAATGGCACTCCACCCGAGCCATTCTCCGAGCCCACGGGAAGATCTCCGAAGCAGCACTCTGCGCTGAAGACATGGACCTGCAAGAGAAAGACACAAGAAGAAAATGTCAGTACTTGAGTTCGCATTTCCACTCAACGACGCTACAACAACAACAACAACCGGCATCAACCAGAACCCGTACCTCCATTCTGTCACATCTGCAAGACGTCAGGGCACCCTCGCACACGCTACCCCAACCGACAGAAGTCCACATCGACACAGCGGCAACTTCGACCTTCAAGCAGTCAAGTCGCCTCAACACAAGCGAATCCCACCACTCAAGTACAAGTCTCAACGACATCGACAGGACAACCTGCACAAGGAGCAAGAAACATCGTCAGCTGCATGGCAAGATTGACCGACTCCTGCATCACCGAGTCACCGCCACATTACTCACCGGAAGAACAGCTCGACAACAGCACGCCCCGCCGCGAGTCACTTCAACCGAACCCAACGTATGTAGCTATCGCCCAAAGCGAGCCGTCCGGAAAAGAGATTTGGTTCTTGGATAGTTGCTGCGGGCAACACATGTGCTCCTCGAGTCGCTTCGTTCAACAGGAATATCAATTCCAACGCGAAGTCGTCATCACCGTCGCCAACAACCAGAACCTGCGCACACGACGACAAGGAGTGGTTCAAATCCAGTCACGAGAGACAAACGTTATACTGCAGATGTCGAAGGTTTTAATAGCAGAAGGACTCGGCTACAACTTACTAAGCGTCAGTCAACTGATGGAGAAGGGGATACACCTCGAAGCAGACAGCACCACCCAAGAATTCAAGCTGTACCACGGGAGAGGAGGCCTTTACATCGAGAAGGCAGTCCTGAAGAACAACGTCTTCGTCCTTGACTTCGTCCCAGACCTCGGCACCGCCGACAGCGACGGAATTGTGACCTTCACCTCCTAGACCCACCCTCCAGATCTTGACCCAGACTTCAGCCCCGGCGGCTTCTGGCATTCCCACACGATACCTGAGGCAGAACGAACAAGGGCATTAGCAACGATTCAACAATCGGCAGCAGCAGAGACAACATCGGCAGCAACAGAGACAACATCGGCAGCAGCAGAGACAACATCAGCAGCAGTAGAGACAACGTCGGCAACAGCAGAGACAACATCAGCAGAGACAACGACAGCAGCAACACCAACATCAACACCAATCGCTGGCCCCTCAACACCATCAGTCTTCATCGACGATTCGCCACCGACATCCGCGCAGCAGCTAACTCCAATTCCACGAGAAGTCCACCGAAGCGCCAACTTCACCGCCGGCTTCTACTCCAACTCCGACATGTATCGGTGCTCACCTGGACATCGCGCCACCGAAGGAACCTGGCACACAAGAATGGGTCATCCAAGCAATACGGTGTTACTTAACACGATAAGAGTAGGCGTGCTCGACAAAGACTCTCTACTTCTAACTGACGGCAGAGAACTTCAGCGAGCCCGTCGAACATGCGTCAGCTTGTCCCGAAGCCGACTTACCGCATCAGCCGTTCGTCTCACATCACAATCCAAGCGCACCAGCATACGCACCTCTGGAAAAGGTGTACAGCGACATACTGTACAACCGCGAGCCCGAACAAGGAGCTTATAATTATGTTATCACGTTCATCGACGCCGCCACACGCTACGTCTGGCACTTCAACCTCCCGAGCCGTGGCATGGCACACGATGCCTTCGCCGCCTGGCTTCCAGCAGTAGAACGAGAATCAGGGGTAAAACTAAAAAGCTTCCAGTCAGACGGGGGAGGAGAATATCAGTCACAAAGATTCAAGGACTACCTGGCAGAACGAGGCATCAAGCGGCTCATCTCCCTTCCCTACGCCCACCAACAGCAAGGCGTAGCAGAAAGGATGAACAGGACTCTCCAGAACACCATGCGCAAGCTGCTGCGTGGCATGCGGCTACCCAACCACCAGTGGCCCGAAGCAATGGACCATGCTGTGATGCTGCACAACTTGCTCTCGTCATCATCGCTCCCCAACAACGCATCACCGCATCGGTTGTGGACAGGAAAGTTGGGCAGCACAAAAATGTTAAGGGTCTTCGGCTGCATGGTACAGTACCGACCCCCAGCTGCACGAGCCGGCCGATTCTCCCAACGCGCACAGTGGGGAGTACACCTGGGCATCGAAAAACACTACAACGCATGGAAAATCTTCGACATCCACACCAAGGAAACAGTAGCAGCACATGATGTTAGTTTCTACGAAGAACTCACCCTCCCATACTACCTCGCCAACTTGCAAGAAGGAAATCCGGACCTCTCGGATGGATTTCTTAGCACCCGAGCCTTCGCTTCGGCAGAAGACGAAGCTGACTTGGACGAGCAGAACGTGGAAGGAGCCTCGGAAGCAGCCGGACCTCTTCCCTACTGCTCAGTCGACGTTCCGATGGATGACGAAAATCAACGCGACAGCATCAACGATCACTTCGCCGACAACGGTTACGTTACACCTGCACAAGTCAACACCGACGAAGCAGAACGCGTAGGACCAAATTTCAATCCTACACCAGAAGCGGGAGACGAAGCAGTTTATCCCGAGGATACAACACTCCCCCGCTACACACAAAGTGGCCTCCAGATACTCGGCCTCGTCACCGCGGTTCACGGCACGGCGATTCCTAAGGAGCCTGCCACAGTTCAGCAGGCTCTGGGGGGGGAGCATAAGGAAAAATGGCGCGAAGCCATGGACAGGGAGCTGAAAGCACTGGAGGAACGCAACACCTGGAAAGTCGTCCCTATCGGCGTAGCACGAAACAAGACAATACTCACCGGGAAATGGGTCTTCCGTGTGAAAACAAAAGCAGACGGCACCATCGACAAGTTCAAAGCGCGCTGGGTCGTACGTGGCTTCGACCAAGAGCACGGACGCGACTTCACCGAGACATTCGCCCCGGTCAGCAGACACACCTCACTGCGAATTCTCCTCGC